CACCCTCTACCTAAGATGCATGAAGTGGCCAAGTTTGATGATTCTAAGTCTAATAGTTTTCAAGTTATGGACCGGACAGGATTTTTCCATATTTGGCTATAACTTTTTAATTATAGGTCAGAGCGACCTACTTTTTGTGCGCAACACACCTTCTACCCAAGATGTATCAGCTGACAAAGTTTGATAACTCTAGGCCTTATAGTATTCAAGTTATGAGCCGGACACGAGAAAAGCTAACAGACGGACGGACGGACAGACGGACAGACAGACGGACATGAAGCCTATAACATAATACGTCCCGTCTTAAGACGGGCGTATAAAAACCAAAAGAGTGGATCAGACTCAATAGGCTTCAGTGTATTCAAACTCACCCCCTTCTCTCAGACCAAAAACTTAATTCTAAAGAACTGTTATAAATGCACTGTATCCTAACTATAGATAAATTTCATGCTTGACAATTTCTGGAATTTATCTGACAATTAACATATTCATTTTCATGTTCAAGTCCCGAAAAGCTCTATTCACCTGTGAAAAATGTTTTTTGACATTGAGAAAATATTTATTATAGGTGTAAATATTGAACTTATCTATTTAATTTTTAATATATGGTACCGGCATTTACCACCCAGAAAAAATGTTTAAACACAACACAGTATCATTTAAGAGAAATCACTGTTGTTTACTTCCACAGATAAAATATATGTAAATATTAAATGTTCAATTAATTTATCAAGACCTTTTAAAATGATAAGAATACTAGAATTGATTGCAAATTTGGTGATGTACTGTAAATTTCTGTTTATTGGAATTTAGATTTAAGGGTCAGATCATACTAACTGCAAAAAAAAAAAACCTCTTCAGTGTGTATTGTAGAGAGAGTTCTTACAAAATAAAATCTGATAGTGATCTTTCAGGACTTACTTCTGAAAAATCGTCCTGCTCACTAACATCTCTGTTTAATGTTGAAACTGGCAGCGATTCTCCTGAATTCAAAGCTTCTTGTACACTGAAAACATAAATACCCAAACTGTGTGTCAGAACAAAATGTGTATAAACCATGTGCATGTATATCTACATAAAACAAAACAGAAAACTGTTCTCTTTAAAAAGATTTCCATGTAATATTGTATAACTGATATCATGCTTCCCTGATTAAACTAGACCTTAACTATAAATATAGACAAATCTCCTTATCTTGAACTTGACAGAACCAAGATTCAACTCTGAGAGATCCAATGGTTCTAGCTTACTAGTCCATGAAAACATAAGAATTAAGTGTTTGGGAATGCCAACTCAATTTGACATACCCATTATGTTTGAAATATTAGTGTTTAGGATAATGAATTAAACTGTATATTTTTAATTTCTACAAACATGACACTGTTTATTCTGAAAACTTGCTCTGTATTCAGTATCTTCATATAGCTCCATAAACTGTTACTGGGAAGTTCACTGTATCATAATCACCTTATTGAGAAAATCATTTACCACAAGTTAACTCCCTTTTTAACTGAATGCATTGAAAATGACTACATATAAAGAGAACAGGTTTAACAATACATGTAGTACCTTCTGTACAGAAACTTGGAAAGCATGTTCTTATTCTGGAGATAGTCTCTGGTCTTCTTTTTCTTTGGCACACATTTCACCTAAATCAGGGATGGGGTAATTGAATAAAGTAATTGTAATTGAGTGTAATTAATTACAATTTTCAAAGTAATTGGAAGTAATTTGTATTTGAGCGAGCCTTCAATTACAAGTAATTGAATGTATTTAAATACATTTCAAAAAAGGTCATGTATTTTCAATTACTTTTCAATTACATTTCAATTACTTTTTTTCAAAATAAAAGTTTATATTTAAAAAGGTGTCTTATACTGATACATAGTTTTATACTGGTGGGTTTATTTTACTTATTCCCATGTTTTATAAATCTCAGTTCTCCCTATTCCCACTTACAAATAACAATGATTGTTGAGATAGTTAATTTGTTTTACAGTAATTAGACTAACTACATCCCCTTTTAGATTTATCTGTATTCTATTCATTTTAAGATAGAAAATAATGAATGGAATTGTGATAGATATTATTCATTTCCTTCAAAAATATGGATTTGAGAAAGTAACAAAAAGATCTTGCCATACACCATACTAGTGTAGCATGGGCTTGTGTTTGTACAATAATTAATTGTCTCATAATGTTTAATTTGTTTAATGAGTGTGTCACACTCATTATAAGGTAAAGGTCTAATTTTGACCAGGTGTGAACCCCTATCATACCCAAGGACAAAAACACTGAATGAAAGTTCGTGTTCGATCGCTATAGAAAAAATCTTATTAAAAAAAATCTTTTATTTTTTTTATAAAAATAAAACTCGAAGTAATTGAAATGTATTTAATTACATTTGTCAAAGTAATTGAAAGTAATTAATTACATTTGAAAAAATCAATGTAATTGTAATTGCAAGTAATTGACAAAATTATCAATGTATTTGAAAGTAATTAATTACATTTTAAAGTAATTGACCCCAAGCCTGACCTAAATACACATGTAAGTGAACTTGTTAGAGACTTCCATCAATGAAGATTTATATACAATCTCTAATTAAAAGTAAATCCCAAAAATATTACCTGCATGTCTTTCTTTACTGACTCCAAGTAAAATTCTCTCAACCATTTCCAGTCATCCTAAAGTCATAGGAGTGTAAATAATTAAATAAATCAACAAACCATTCTGCATCTTGATATTCTATGAAAACCAATGAAATTTATGATTATAACACTTGATTTCAGTTGTAACCTTTCTAAAAACTACCATGTTTACCAAGTTTGATTAAAGTGAACAAAAACTCCAAAAGAAAATTAACACATTTTGAGTTTGATTTGTATTCGTTTTCTTCATATTTCATTCAAGCAAGTAAACACTCCTGTGTTTCTATGTCCAAAACTATATGAAACTATTTCTGAGCAAGTCAAATATTGAACATAAATGAGAACTAATTGTACACATTAAACAATATCTATTAATATTTTACAGGACATATACCTATTAACTTACCTTCTGTTTTCTCAGTAGGTTTTTGTGGATATCAAAGTCATCAATCAGAAGAGAGTTGTCTACCTTGTGAACCATCATACTGATCTGGGATTTGGACGAAAACGGCATCTTCAGCAGTTTCTTGATATTCTGGAGTAAAAGAAATACATTTATCAAATTAACAATTTATTTGATACACATGCTACTAGAGTATATTACCAACAATTCCATATAACTTCAAATCATTAAGATTTTTTTATCCCGGGTAAAAGGAAGTTCCAAAATCATTAAATAACAAGTAAACATCTGAGCACCTTAGCTTGTGAGATCACATCAACTTCTCCTGTAAGGTCTAATGCATTGTTTGCCATTGCAAAACTGAAAAGAGAATGTTTCTGGTTAATAATAAAGTTTATTAAATACCTTTGTAATCTGAAAATCACTGAGAACTGTAAATATAAATGGAAGGTGAAAAAAATTACAGTATTTGAAATTGGTATTTCTAATATTAGATTTGGCATATATTGACCAAAGAATGTGATTCAAAATAATTAAATTTTACTGCATAGTAAAATCCACTCCTCTAAGACTGTGGTATGCTAAAACACAGCATTGTAGAAGATTATATAGGAACAAAATTATAATTAATTTTAAATTATACTGGGATATAAAGGTAAACAGATTGAGAATATAATCATGGGAGTCAGATGTTTATTACGGGTAACTGTTATTGTGAAAAAGATTGAAAATCCTAGCCTAGAACTTTTGGGAATTTCATCTGTTCATTTTTTTTTTTTACAGACCCAGAGCTGCCAACATTCTGAAATGAGAAATAGTAAGGCGTGGTCCGGGGACCGCCTAGGCCCCCTGCCGCTGAAGATGTTTTGTAAATGGTCATGCAATCGGAGCAATTTGAGGCACGTTTCCATTTTGTTTACTTTAAAACATTGACATGAATGCGATCGGCCATCTAAAACCGAAACGACGATACAAGCAAGCGTTGTAAGGATTATGAATATTTAATTATAATAGTAGAATCTGTAGACGGCCAGTTATGAAAATTCTGGTATTATAAACTTTGATCGAGAAAAAGCGAAATCGGAAAAATAAAGAGAGATATCGTAAGGCGTACTTTGGACGTTAATTTCGTAAGACTTACGCCAAAATAGTAAGGGTTGGCAGCTCTGCAGACCCCCCCCCCTAAATGTACCACTATATACTGTCAGGGTTGTCCATAAAACCTTCACTGCTTATAATCATATCCCCCAGCTATTTTAATATCATCTCTCAACTCTTTATGGGAGAAAGAACCTCAGAATCCCTTCTGCTTTTTAAATGTTCCCTGCTATTTTAATTCTTAGGGAAACCCTGCCTGTGAATATAAAGAAAGGTGTAAATCTAAAAACATTCCACATCTAATATTGCATACCTTGAAACTCTTTTTGGCCACAGAAACTGCCTAGCCTTCTGCTGTTGGGAGAGTGACCTCCTCCTTAACCAGTTAGCTGGAGGCTTATTGAGATCTGTTTGAGGCTGGAGTAAGGCCATGAGAGGAGAGAAATCTAGTGTAGGGTCCTTCACTCTCACTACAGATTTAATCTCCCCTCTATCCTGGGAATCTGTGCTATCTGTACTGCTGCTTCTACTGTATCTTAACACAGGCTGGAGTTGATCGGCTGGTGAGGTCACGGAGTTCTGTTGTGACACAAAGGATGAAGAACAGGAATCGTTATCCCCCAGTGAAGAAGCATGTGCCGTCAAGTCTTCAGTAATGCTGTCATTGTTTGATGTGTATAGGTGCAAATTCTTTGGTACATCCATCTACAAATATGTTCAATAGGTAAAACCAAAAACCATACAAAAGGTTACAAAGTATTAAATCTGCATGTGGTGCTTATTGAAGTAGAAACATAGGTAATCAAAGATTATGAAGCTCACCTCGACGAATGTTATCAGTGTAAGTAATGCAGATCTCACATCATATTTTCTTAATGTCTAGTATTTATCCCAACAACAATATTCTTGCAAACTGTGTTTTAAACCCTTACATGGCATATACACATTTCTATGCATGTAGCATGAAAAACATGTATAGTGTAAACAAATATTCATAAATTTGTTAATACTGCAGATATCAAGGACTTCAAGTTCATTGGGATTAATCTGTCCCCAAAACTTTAACCTGGTCTCTTGTATGAAAAATATAGGTCAGATTCAGCATCCAAAGCAAGTCTGATAGTGTCCATCCCTAGATGCATCATTCATGCAAGTTTGGTTCAGGTAGGTCTTATAGTTACTTGGGAATGAAAATATAGGTCAGATCCAGCATCTGAAGCAAGTCTGGTAATGTCCACCCCTAGATGCATCATCTATGCAAGTTTGGTTCAGGTAGGGTTTATAGTTACTTGGGAATGAAAATGTAGGTCAGATCCAGCATCCGAAGCAAGTCTGGTAGTGTACATCCCAAGATGCATCATCTATGCAAGTTTGGTCCGGGTAGGGCTTATAGTTCCTTGGGAATGGACCTGCTCCAAAAATTTTAACCTGGTCACTCATCTGGAAAATGTAGGTCAGATCCAGCATCTGAAGCAAGTCTGGTAGTGTCCATCCCTATATGCATCATCTATGCAAGTTTGGTTTGGGTAGGGCATATAGTTCCTTGGGAATGGACCTGCTCCAAAAACTTTAACCTGGTCACTCATCTGGAAAATGTAGGTCAGATCCAGCATCTGAAGCAAGTCTGGTAGTGTCCATCCCTAGATGCATCATCCATGCAAGTTTGGTCTGGGTAGGTCTTATAGTTACTTGGGAATGCCAATGGACCTGCTCCAAAAACTTTAACCTGGTCACTCATCTTGGGAATGGGCCTGCTCCAAAAACTTTAACCTGGTCACTCATCTGGAAAATGTAAGTCAGATCCAGCATCCGAAGCAAGTCTGGTAGTGTACATCCCTAGATGCATCATCTTGCAAGTTTGGTTCAGGTATATATAGGGCTTATAGTTACTTAGGAATGGACTTGCTCCTAAAATTTTAACCTGGGACGCTGACGCCGACGCCAACGCCGGGGGTATAGCATAAGCTCATTTCGACTTTGTCGAGGTGAGCTAAAAATGACACAAAATTATAACTAATCTCAGTGAGATCCATATAGAGACTAAAAATTTAGTCTCTAGGATCTCGCTGAGATTTAAATTTATATCACATAACCTTATATCATCCAATTTAACATTCACCCTCTATCTTTCGCTCTCTTTCTCTTCCCCCTTCTCGCACGCAAAAACATACAAACACTTACAGTACATTACTTTCACACTGTTTTAATGTTGAAGGTTGCAGACGTATTTATCACAAACACCAATGTTTTGACAAAAATAGACCAATATCCTACGATACTGCCTCTTATGCTTGTCTTTGTTTAGGGCAGAATCATGTGTCACTCATTTTATATCCAATCTTACCTTTATTTGGTATGTTTGGTAACAGTATTTTCTAGAAAGTTAGGAGGAAAAGTGAAACTAGGATTAATTTTGAGTAAATCAAACGTATTAATTTCCATTCAAGAATAGATTTATATAAATGCTATGCCTTTCAGTAAAGGATGATGGTAAAAAGAGAGATTTCAAAATTAAATATATAAGAAACTAACGTTTTATTATAGAATTGATTAGAATGAAAAGATTTCAAGCATTATCTCGTTTAACTCGAATAACTTGAGTATGAGTTATTGATGTGGGTCATCTCAAAATACGTTAGAAAACCGCGATGATTTTATAATTTTTGTAATATGATGATGTATAGTAAAAGCCTTTGATTTAAAGATCATTTAAGGAATCAGTTAAAAAACGGAATTTTTGCATGAAATATAATGATGTAATTGTTTTGATCAATTTTCGGATATATTTAAGCCGACCGGAAGCGCACCAAAATTTTAATCAACAATGGCGACCGTCGGAGGCATGTGCGTGAGAACTGTCACATCAATTTCAAGAAGTTTAAGACATAATATTTATCCGAGAGTGACGTGGAATAGGTGAGCATTATAACTTTATGTTTTGTATATGTTATACAGAGTGATAACCTTGAAATACCTTGTTATATTCGTTTATTTACTATATGTATTTCAAGGTTACGAAACGTTCAAGATTCGCTTTCAATTTCATCATTTGCAAAGTTTTCAGAATTGGTATTATGTTAATTAATGAACAAATAAGACATGCAAAAGACATCCTTGCCAGGCCTTATTGTGAGGTGCTCAAGAAATGAAAGCTCTTTCATAAGAACAAGTTGATATAATTCACAATGATATTGAAAATTGCGTAAGAATTATGAACTTACATAAAGTCTTTGAGGGTGTCGTTCTTGTCGAGTTAAATTTTGCAATATTTTGTTTTTAAGCTAAATAATATAATAAATTGTTATAACTAACAGTTTCCCATTGGGAAAAGCAATCACATCCATTCATGTGGGATAATGGTTCAAAATTAAACATTAGTTTAACTTAGTTAGAATAATCTAACTTTGTCTCGGGACAAATCCTTACCACAGTTAGAATATGTTCATATACTGGCAATGTAGCAAATTGGAGCGGATCCCCTCCCGAAATGATTTTGAAGAATACAAAAGGGGTTGAGTTGAAAATAACTACCAAATGAATCAAAACAAATCTTTTTGAGATTGTATATGTCTTTTACCCAAAAAATAATCCATTGAGGACAAAAATTCAACTAAGGATGTATTCACTTTGACAAAAGAATTGACCTATAGGAGAGAACAATTTCAGTCTACATCAGTCTATGCGAAAGTCACCGGACCGTCGGTTTTTACCGGTAAAATTTAGGTCGGGTCGGTAAAAATTTCAGTATTTCCCGGAAAAAAGTGACATTTAAAGATCAATCTTCATTTGTTGTTTTCTACCGTATGTATGTCTAAAATTTTTCAGATTTGTATTTTATACCTCAAATTTATTATTTACAACTTTTCAGTAAACCTCCAAAATTGGCCGAAACACAAATTTGTCTGTTTAAGCGTTGATTTTTGCATGGATTTTGGCCTAGAAGTCCTTCAGGGCAGGCCTGCCCCTAAATATAATTGTGATATTTTGATAGGTTGGGGTGTAAGGAATAATTTAAGATAGGAATTTTTGAGGGGCACCCCTGCCCTAGGGTCGAAATTCACTAAAAACCTACAAAAAATAAGAAAACCTGATTTTGATAATCTGCTTCAAATTTATTTTTTTCATTCTGATAGTCAGACTAGCTCAGTTGATATATGTGCTGACTTTTAGACTGTGGAAACTTTCATTTTAAAGTCGTGGGTTCGAATCCACCTGGTACCACACTTTTTAAAGTTTTAAATATCGCCTTTTCAAAGACTATTTTAATTTTTTTCATAGACTTGTGTATTTTTCTTCAATTATCTATCCTTTATGCATGCCCATTCTTGATATAAGAAACACTAAAGAGATATCAAATCGTAACAATCAAATGTACAGTTGTCAGTCAGGCGGAACAAACCTCAGTATGAGCACACTTTCTCCGAGGACAAGACTAAAAAGTCTATTCTCAGTTATGTTAAGGAAGGTTTGAGTTCACATTTTGTGGTGCACTGTATTGGAAGCTTAATTGTGATGTCATGAAAAATTTAACAAGCGACTAAAATCAAATTAACGACATGATGATTCGTAAATAACAACTCATATTTCTTTACTTGATCAATTATTTATAAAATCTTGTAAAATCACCATACTTGATTACAATGCTGTCAAGTAATAGAAGAAAGTTTCTCATCAAATATGACGTCACCTTGCAGCCTTAACATGACGCAGTATAAGTGATCCTGAGGAATTGATTCACTGGTTTAATAATTACAAAACATGCTTAAAGTTCATTGATACTCTGATAAGAGAGATAACTCTTAATGACATAAATGTCCATTATTCCTTAATTTCCTTTATAGATTTGCCAAGTTGAAGTGTCTTTTTTTTCCAATTTTGCCCTGCAAGCTATGCTATAATTGTTTGTATTTTACTGATACATGTAAAATACATCTCTTTTGGAAAATCATTAAGGTTCAAGCTACATTTTATATGAGTGAGCAGAGGGTTTATGAACCTTAAATTGATATGAAGTCATCGTGTGTTTTTTTAAAAAGCCTAATCATTAAAACGAAAAGAAGATATTTATTTACAATGTAAATAGAATATGAATTTATCTAGTAGCATTGGAGCTGCACAAGGACAGGAATGTATAGAACTACAAGGATAAGAGTATTCTTGATTTACATCAAAGTGTAAGGGCATAGACTAAATTGTTTGAGCTGAAATATGGAATATTAATTGCTTATATAGTGTATATTTTGAAAAGTACTGGGAGCTGATTCTGGTTTGCATAACTTTATTTAATACAGAATTAAAGCGAAGTGGAATTTTTTATCTATTGAACACATTTTCTGCAATATTTTCAGAACTTCCCAGCACAGACTAGCTCTCTGCACTTTTTGGGTGGAGAAAGTAAACATCTTTAAATGTGAATCAATTTTTTCTTCAAAAACAAGTGTATGTCCTTGTCTTTGCCTCATTTCCTACATTCAGCTTAACAATTCTATTTTTTTAGCTCACCTGAGCCGAAGGCTCAAGTGAGCTTTTCTGATCAAAATTTGTCCGTTGTCTGTCGTCATCGTAGTCGTTGTTGTCGGCGGCGCGTCGTAAACTTTTCGTATTTTCATCTTCTTCTCAAGAACCACTGGGCCAATTTCAACCAAACTTGCTACAAAGTATCCTTGGGTAAAGGGGATTCAAGTTTGTTCAAATGAAGGGCCACGCCCTTTTCCAAGGGGAGATAATTATTTATAAATTAGAGAAAAATTAATGGCATTTTTTAAAAATCTTCTCCTCAAGAACCACTGGGCCAGGAAAGATGAAACTGATGTGGATTCATCCTCAGGAAGTGTAGATTCAAGTTTGTAAAAATCATGACCCCCGGGGTAGGGTGGGGCCAAAATGGCTGATCAATGTTTTAGATAGGAGTATATAGGAAAAATCTTTAAAAAATCTTCTTCTCAAGAACCACTGGGCCAGGAAAGATGAGACTCATGTGGAATCATCTTCAGGTAGTGTAGATTCAAGTTTGCTCAAATCATGACCCCCAGGGGTAGGGTGGGACCAAAATGGCTGATCAAAGTTTTACATAGGAGTGTATAGGAAAAATCTTTAAAAATCTTCTTCTCAAGAACCACTAGGCCAGGAAAGATGAAACTCAGGTGGAATCATCTTCAGGTAGTGTTGATTCAAGTTTGTTATAATCATGACCCCCAGGGGTAGGGTGGGGCTAAAATGGCTGATCAAAGTTTTACATAGGAGTATATAGGAAAAATCTTTAAAAATCTTCTTCTCAAAAACCACTGGACCAGGAAAGATGAAACTTATGTGGAAGCATCTTCAGGTAGTGTAGATTTAAATTTGTTCAAATCATAACCCCCTGGGGTAGGATGGGGCGAAAATGGCCGATCAATGTTTTACATGGGAATATATAGGAAAAATCTTTAAAAATCTTTTTCTGAAGAACCATTGAGACAGGAAAGATGAAACTCATGTGAAATCATCCTCTGGTAGTGTATGAAGGCATTCTCAAATAGTATTAAAATTCAAGCCCCCCCCCTCCCCCCCCCCACCTCGGTAAACTTTCAGTTCTGATCTGATATTTGCTAGCTGATGTGCTCAGGTGAGTGATGTAGCCCTTGGGCCTCTTGTTTTAAATACTTATCACATGACAAACAACTGATACATGCAATATAACTGTTACTGTGTAACGCCCAGCTCTATCCATGATGGTTAACTGTATTACATTTTCTACATGTGTTCAGTTATTTTGTTACAATTTTTTTTAGAAAGTAATATGTTTAACATATGAAAATGGTGCTAGGATCACATTTTCTACTTCAGTCCTTAACATAGCTGAGTTGTTCTACAAGTTTATATCTCATTATTATTATTTTAAAGTTATGAAATAAATAAAATCAGTCCCTTTCAATGTATGCTGCTATGCTATCTACATCATTCATGTTGTTGTATCCATGATCTCTTCTTTCAATTTAAGAGGAAAAGGAAATCATAGTTATTCCCTGGGAATAACAATGTCTGGATCCACCAAAATGAATTTCCGCAAAAACTGATGTGAATGCTGATGCTGAAGTTAGTTTCTGTTCTCAAATATGTTAATATTAAAAACGTTCCAGCACATATAAATGTAATAATTTAACAAAAGTAAAAAAAAACACTTCCAGAGTTTATATCCTTTGTGCTTTATACTGTAGTTGCCTGGGAGAACTACAGAGACTGGTGGTGTTCTGAATATTTCCAAGAGTACAAATTATTAATAAATTTAGAATAACTTGGAGCAGATTGTTGTGCAGTATATTTATGATTTCAGAAAGTAGATTAGCACTACATAAGGACAGAGGACAGATACCACTGATAATGACCTACTCCATCCTAGATTAGGCCAATTAAAAT